TCAGTTCACATTAGTGTGTCTCCCAGTGTGTCAGCACTCAGTTCACATTAGTGTGTCTCCTGGTGTGTCAGCAATCAGTTCACATTAGTGTGTCTTCCTGTGTGTCAGCACTCAGTTTTCATTAGTGTGTCTTTTGGTGTGTCAGCACTCAGTTCACATTAGTGTGTCTGTTGGTGTGTCAGCACTCAGTTCATATTAGTGTGTCTCCTGGTGTGTCAGAAATCTGTTAACATTAGTGTGTCTCCCAGTGTGTCAGCACTCAGTTTACATTAGTGTGGCTCCCACTGTGTCAGCAATCAGTTCACGTTAGTGTGGCTCCTGGTTTTTCAGAAATCAGTACACTTTAGTGTGTCTCTTAGTGTGTCAGCACATAGTTCACATTAGTGTGTCACCCAGTGTGTCAGCACTCAGTTCACATTAGTGTGTCTCAGAGTGTGTCAGCACTCTGTTCACATTAGTGTATCTCCCAGTTTGTCAGCAATCGGTTCACATTAGTGGTCTCCCAATTTGTCAGCGCTTAGTTTACATTAGTTTCTCTCCTGGTGTGTCAGAACTCAGTACACATTAGTGTGTCTTTTATTGTGTCAGCACTCAGTTCACATTAGTTTGTCTCTTGGTGTGTCAGATCTCAGTATACTTTGGTGTATCACTTGGTGTTTCAGATCTCAGTACACTTTAGTTTGTCTCCCATTTTGTCATAGTCAGTAGACTGTAGTTTGTGTAACAATGTGAAAATACTCGTTTCTTAGTACACTGTCTATCAATACTCAGGTAACATTTGTGTGTCACTCAGTGAGTCAGTAATTATTTCATAGTACTGTGTGTTGGTTCATAATTTTGTGTCTACTAGTGAGTTAGTCCTCAGTTCACAGTAGTGTGTCTCAAAGTGTGTCCACACAGAGATCCTAGTTATGTGTCTCCTATCATTTCAGAACACAGTACACTTTAATGTTTCTCTTAGTGTGTCAGCACTGAGTTCAAATTAGTGTGTCTCCCAGTGTGTCAGGACTCAGTTCACATTAGAGTGTCTCCTGGTTTTTCAGCAATCATGTCACATTAGTGTGTCTCCCTGAGTGTCAGAAATCGGTTCACATTAGTGTGTCTCCTAGTGTGTCAGCACTCAGTTCACACTAGTGTGTCTCCCA